TTGGAGATGGCAGGAGGAATTCAAAAAGCAAATTCAGTTTTATATCTGATCATTTGGGTCTATGATTCAAATGAATATTTATCTTTCCCAATCTGATTTTATAAGTTGCCTTTTTTTTTTTTTAAAAGCCGAAAAGAGCTGTGTTGGAAGAAAAGAATGGCCAAAAAAACCCTCACTAAGCTAATAAAACATAAGATCCTATACAGAGCATATGATGTCCTTTATTTTTCTCCCTGCACCCTTCCCAAAGTCTCTACATTTGCCTTCTACACTGCCAACTCTGCTCCCAGTGACAGTAACTTTTTCCTTTAATTTTTTTTGCTTCATTTCTTATTTCACAGCCTCTCCTAAGCAGAATACAGCAGAAACCTGGGAACACAAGCAAACCTTTCAAAGTCACAGTGTATACATGAGGTCGAAACTAAATGGCTCATCCATCAGTTCCCTTTTGTAACCAAATAACAAGAAGAATGTCAAACCACAGTCTTTTTCCAAAAAAACATCCTTGGAAAACTACATCTGCCTATAGTTACTAGAGCTTCATCACCCCCTTCCAAGGCCAGCTCTCAGCAGCGGGAAGGGAACCGCAGCCCCGGGCACTCGGGACCATCTCTACAGGGGCAGCGGGATGGCTCGGCACAGGGTGGAGGGATCCCCCATGCCACACCTATGACACACTCGGGCTGTGCCAGCATAGGGATTGCTTTTGTAACTGCTTTCTCCCTACAACCACAGTATCCCGCTCCCACGAGCCTCCTGGCCTCACCAAGGCCGGCATGAAAAGTAAATAAGGGAAAGCAGCATGAAGGCGTCTTGTGTTTGCTTACGAGGAGGGTCACATCGCACAGACAGCTGCTCCCCAGCACACATCCTTCCCCATGCAGGCACCAACTGTGCACCACTGTGTGCATATATAAATAAAATACACACCTCTTTTGTTTGTTTGGGAGTCTGAGGGAATATTAAAGTAGGTGACTCCTCAGTGTCCACCCTTGCTTCTAAGAATATCGAAACCCAGGAACCCGTGTTCCTCATCCTCAGGGCACGGTGTTGTCATTTCTTGTATCACACCTTCAACAGAGAAGTCTGAAACAAGTGTCACATCTGAGCTAGCCTGTGGACGGGAGTTTGGAAATGCTGAAGCTCTGTCAGTAGTTTAGTTTTAGGTAGCCCTGAGAGGAGCAGGGAGTTGGACTTGATGATCCTTAGAGGTCCCTTTCAACTCAAGATATACTATGAGTACCAGAAGTGGCCACCACAGTGGGACACTCATGCATTTAAAGATCGGGTTATACTGATGCACCTGAAAATAGTGTGCCCAATTTCTCATCCCATGCCTCCTGGAATCACGTAATTTCAGGGAGTTCAGTGGGAGTTTGCCCGAAGCAAAGGAAGAACAGATCCAGGGATGTGCCCTTGCAGAGCAAGGAAAGCTTCTCCTGGCTTTTTCCCTAGAGCAAAAGTGTTTTGGTTTTTTTTCTTTTTTTTTTTTCAAACAACAGATTTGACACATGCATCATACCAAGATGGTGGCCAGGAGAAGGACATAAAACCATCTAAACAAGTCCAATTATGGAGACTGTAAAGATTCTTGGATTTAGATTTTATAACAAGGTCTCTAAACTTTCTAGCATGCAAAGTTCCATCTCAAAGTCTACGACAAGCTACAATACAGCTTTGTACTCCTTATAAACTAGTTCAGTCTTGCTGATACAGTCAAGAATCCACAGATCTGCAATGCAGGTGTTTCACCGAGCACGATACTATGCTGTTAGAAATCTAATTTCTGGAAGGAGCACAGGCGCCTCTCTATGTATATTTCGTATCAGTAATGAGTATATTTGTGTATGCTTGAGATTTTTTTTAATTCAGATTCCACTGACAAATTAAAAAAAAAAGTAGCTGAAGCCAGCTAGCTAATTTACTTTGAAGTTTTTAAGACTCTTTGTAATGCTCTACCTGCAAAGAAAATTTCTTTTACAGAGTTTACGCTGTGCCAACAATGTACAGGAGTCTTTAAAAATGTCTTTGTTTAAACCTTTTAAAAGCCACCGTGGGTGAAGATAACTCAACCCTCCTTTAAGTGCATTAGTGGCTTTTGCTGAAGAGCCTCAGAAAACTTGCAGGATGGTCACACAGGTTGCAGTGTCCTCCTGGGCGGATCAGTTGTTTGCATACAATTCAAGGAAAATAATTTTCTACCTCCCATCCTTGATTTCATCTCTTTTTAAACTACTATTCCCAAATTTCTAGAATCTTTCAACACAAATCCAAATCCAAACTCAAGAACAGTAATTTATTTCAAAATTACAAAAAAATTCCTCTTACAAGGAAAATTACTAGTAAATTGAAGAAAAACAAGTTTCAAATAGGTATTAACATTTGGTAAATATTATCCTCCTCCATTTCTTTCTCTAGAGTACCAGGAAAGATACAGCACAAAGTGTTGTCATGAAATAATGAAGTTATGTTTGGAAATAGTGAGTTATTTCAGGTAAGCCTTTGTGTTGCCAAACTAGAATGTAGCAGCACTTAAGACTGTCACTTTTTATAATGTTTGCCTATAAACTTTTTCCAGTGTGGGTTTGAAATGGTGCCCAAAAGCAAACAGAGAACAGGTGGGATTCTGAGGCATGAGTCCGCCCAACAGCTTCACTGTGAAAATCAACCAGTTTATATTGTTAAAAAATTCCCAGCAGCACATAAACAACCTACGCTGCAAAGTTAACTCTCTCTCCCGGACGCTGCACGAGGATTTTTACACCACTCTGAAATTTAGGGACAAATTTTGAATTCATGTGCACGCTGTACCATCAAATCAATGGTTCCCCTGAGGCTGACGTCAGGATTATTTCCCTGCTTCCGGGTCTTTTGAGCATACCAGAGAAATAATGCTGCAAGTTTGCTTGGCCCTCACTTGTACCCATCCTCTGGTGTTTTCAGCAGCATCCTCCTGTATTTTCCCTTAGTGAAAATAGCTAGATAGGAGAAGGAGTAGATAGCCCTGCAGAGCCTGCACCGCCAAGCAAGGCTTGATGATCTGGTATCACCTTCACACTCCGCCAGCCCTCTCTGAAGCTCTGCCTTGAAACTGCACCCTTCAGCCATCACCATAAGCCTGTAAAGCAGCCCTTTGCTGGGCAAGCTGTGCACAGCTGAGAGAAGGCAGCACAGGATGCCTTTCTAAGCGAGTTCTCCTGCAAATCCTATAATTGTGGCATTAGTTCCTACTGCAAAGGTGCATTAACTGATGTGAATAACACCTGTCTATCACCCCTTAAAAAACAAACAAGCAACAAAGGCATGTGTAAAATTTCTGGTGGTGTTCTTAAACACTGGGGGACAAGGGAGGGAACCTTGCTTCTGCTATTGTCTGCTCTCAGCTACATCCTTATTTGTAATAGTGGTGCACACAATGTATTTTAACTTTATAGGTGGAGCTATTGAACAATACCACCATGGAAAACCAAGCTGCTGTTAAATAAACAGACGTGAACTTTTTCGTTGCCTGCTCATACAGCCTCGCAGCATGGTTTATGCCATCCAGCCATCAAATGGAGTAAATAATGTTTGTATAAAAACCAAGACCACAATAGACGACTGGGGACATTCTGAATGTATTATTTCAGATTATTATGAGATACACAATTATATTCAAAATCATGCTTCTATTCAAGATTCGGTCACTGAAATGAGATATTTATACTTCCTTAGGTTTTAAATTATTATTATTTGCCCCCATTTATTAAAATGTTAACAAAGAGCTGCTTATCTTAAGGCTCAAGGCATTTAGTTACTCAGTTACAGAGCCAAATAATTAAACAATCAGCTAATAGCTAACCCCAGCAAAGATTCTCACACAACTCTCCGTAACACAAAAGCCTCAGATCCCATCAAGCCACTTTCCCTTCAAAAGGCTTTAGTAAATAACTAAATACTCACCATAGCGTGCCCAGAAGGGTCAACAGACCTGACCTGTCAAGAATCCAAAAGGTTCACTGCAAAATTGAATGTCCCCACAGGAAACGCCAGGCTGCCAACCTCTACCACTCCTCCTGCTTCTCCTACCCCTTCTCCTGTTTTTCCTGCCGTTGAGGAAGATCCAGCAAGACCACACTGGATGAGCAACATGGAATGGGGATGTCAAGCTATGCCTGAAGCAGAATAGCCACGGGCCCCGTGACTTTGTGAGTCAAACCCAAGCCTTTACGCTTTCTCCAGGAGGCAGCCTCTGCAGGATCAGGAAGCCCAGGTATCATCAGTCAGGTTTGCAACCTTCCCTCCCACCTCCCAGGTACAAGCTGATGGGCTTCTCCCTCAATTTAAGGTGGTAGGCTAACATTAAGAATAGCTCCATGTCCTCTTCTGATGATGGGTGATAAATTCAGCCTACAGAAGAAGCAGCCACCGGTTTAAAAATGCAAAGAGTCATTCCTAGCTAATGGGAGATAGTCACTGCAACAGCAAACAAAGCCACAAAGGCTAAGCACGTCTCCTTATACAAAGGGGGACAAAATAGCATTTGCAATTCATCCATCTGCTTCTCCAAAGTCACTGGA